AAAAAAAAAAAGCAGCTAGTCTGTATGGGGTTTTGCTGTTAACACAGTACTAGCATATAAATTCTGAATTTTTACAATCATATGTATTAGATATAATATCCACTTTACAGTTATGGAAACTGAAGCTGAGATGTTCATTTACTTCAAGTCATCAAGCTGCCAATAAAATAAAAGAACAAGATTAGAAGAATCCTTACTCTTTTTTTTTTTGAATCTTTGCTCTTAAAGTGGTAGATAAGTCTTGCTTTAAAAATTAAACAGTGGATCCCATGCCCATGTTCTAAGAAACAAAAGATAATCAGACCGTATGTGGGTCAGCTTTTCCTTCTGTGTTCCCCTGGTAGTGTGTTTTTAGGTGCTGTTGAGTCTTCTCTGACTCAGTGTGGCGCTGTGTACAACAGAATAAAACGTTACCCAGTCCTGTACCAGGCTTCACAACTGTTATGTCTGAACCCATTGTTGTAGCCACTGCATCAATCAAGGGTCTACCTTCACTGAATCACCACTTTACCAAATATGATGTCATTCTCCAGGGACTGGCCTCTCCTGATAACAGGTCAAGTTATGTGAGAAGTAGTTTTGCCATTCTCGCTTATAAGCAGCAGTCTGACTGTATTTCCTCCAAGATAGATTTTCCTAAATTTCCCTTTTACACATGATACTTTTAAAACATTTTTCTTTATTCTTCAAATCCACACAACCTGGGAGCCCTGGTGGCATAGTGGGATATGTACTATACTGCCAACCACAAGATCACAGTTTGAACCCACCAACCACCCCAAGGCAGAAAGATGAGGCTGTCTACTCTCCTAAAGATTTAATGTCTCGGAAACCCAAATGGGTGGTTCTACCTATACCAGAAGGTTACTATGAGTTGAAATGGACTCAACAGAAGTCAGTCCCCCCACCTTTTTTTAAAAACACAAACTGGTTATTATTGAATCAAAACATCTGCTATATTCACTATCACTTTGTCCTTCAAATACTATCCATTATTAGTGTAGGTAACTTAAAGATAGATGAGAAATCCAATTCTGTATGTTATTCGTTTAAAAGGCTACTTTAAAATAAAGCAGATGTGTAATATTGAATATTATTAAAAAGGGTATATACTTTGTGTGTATGATGGAGAACTAAAAGTTTAATGTGTTTATTTTTAGAGCAATAAGCATAAAGTATTAAAGAACCAAAAACGCAAAGCTTATCCAATGTAAAGGACTTCAAGGCTACTTATCTAGACAAAATTAAGTCCTTTAGGAGGAATTTAGACTTCCACCTTTGGCCCAGATGGAGTAATAGGGGATGATTTTACCTTCTAGAGTGGAACTTTAAAAATTGGACAAAATACATGAAACTATGGGTTTCATGACAAAGGAGAGTGATCCTGTGAATGTAGAAATAAATAGATGAGCTTGGAAACTAAGTTGGCAAGAGTGTCCAATCTATAAAGGGAAGGAACCTAGGAAAAGCTCCATAGACTCTCTTGAGTAAAGGAGAAGGTGCGGAGAGTGCAGAGTAAGAGAAAGAGAAGTAGGCAGGTTTCCCTCGAATGTTCTGTGTAATGCAGATCAGCACAAGCAAATGAGAAAACTACTTGAGGCCCGGGGAAGGATTTTAGATAACACAGCATAAAGTTTACATGGAAAAAAACCCATTCCCAAGACTAAAAATCCTCTTATTTCACAGAGAATTGATGAAGAAAAGGCCTTGCCTCAAGAGTAGAGAGAACCTGTAGTGGAAGTCTCACTATAAAGGAGAAGCTTATAGTGTAAGGTTCTTATATTGTATACCACAGGTTTCCAAACTTATTTGGCCTACTGCTCTCCTTTTAAGAAAAAGAAATTACTTAGTGGTCTGCTAGCAATGAAAAACTCTATCCCATAATCCAGGACAATGTGTATCTGCTTTTGCAGTCCACTGGATTGTTCCAGTGCCCCCAGGGGGTGGTGCTGCCCACTTTGGGAAACACTGCTGTACACAAAGTGGTATAATATTGATAGAAGACCGAGATTATCAAATATATATACTATATAACTCTAAAATAGCCACTAACATAAACAATTAGACGTCAAATGTTTAAAAACGATAAAAAAGAATTACAAATACATGGTTAAACCAAGAAATGACATCATGTCAAGTAACAGCTTTATTGAGAATTATTATTTAGTGATACTTAGCACTATAGTGGGTAATACTGCAAAAAAAGGAATAATTGCATTTATATGGACAGAATAAAGAGATAATGTATGATTTAAAATTAAGAAAAGTTTGTGTCAGGGTTGTTTCCTTTCACCATCCTTATTCACTTGAAAAAATAATCTAAAAACTAGGGCTTTATGAAGAAGAATATGGCACCAAAGATTAGAGGTAAAACTAACAACCTGTGATATATAGATGATACAACCTTGTTTGCTGAAAGTAAAGATAAGTTGGAACACTTACTGATGAAGACTAAAGACTTCACAGTTTTCAGTAAGGATTATCTCAAAATAAAGAAAATGGACCAATAAGGCACCAAGACAAAATACTGAAATTGACAAGTAAATTATTTTCCTTGCATCCACAGTCAACATACTTAGAAGCAGCAATCAAGAAATCAAAATGATGTATGGCATTGTGAAAATCTGCTGCAAAAGATTTCCTTAAAGTATTAAAAAGCAAAGATGTCACTTTGAAGCCTGACTTAAGCCATGGTATTTTCAATTGCCTCAAATGCATATGAAAGCTGGACAATAAGTAAGGAAGATTGATAAAACCCTGATGCATTTTAATTATGATGTTGGCAAAGAATAATGAATATACCTAGGACTGCCAGAAAAACAAACAAATCTGTCTGGGAAGAAGAACCACTGGAATATTCCTTAGAAGGTAGGATGACAAGATTCTATCTCATATACTTTGAACATGTTTGTTATTAGGAGGAATTGGTTCCTGGAAGACATCATGCTTGGTAGAGGGTCAAGGAAAAAAAGGAAGACCTTTAACAAGATGGACTGACATGGTGACAGCATAATAGGGTAAAACAAGAAATGGTTGGAATAGGATTCATTATAGGTGGGAACCAACTCAATGGCCCTTAAAAATAAGAGTGCAGAATAGAAATAAAACCAAAGAACAGGTGTTATTGACAACATTAGTGCTTTCTTCAGCAGTACCAAAGGAAAAAATGACTTCAAACCTCATCTCATGTTCAAAGTGAACTAAAGGTCTTATTTTTATTTAAAAAAAAAAAAAAAACCTCACTAAAAATTATACTTTAATTTTTTACGTGGCTCCAGGATAGATTTCTTCTTCTATAAGAAAAATGACAGAGAGAGAAAGGAGAGGAAGTGAAAAACAGAGGCTGAATGGGGAAGGGAGAAGAGGGCAGAGGAAGAAGCAAGATAAAGGGAAAGAGAGATCAAATAATCAATGATTCCAGATGTAAGAATGTAACTGTGTCTAAGACTCATCATGGGGTAAATTTATTAGACATAATATGAAATGCCAAAATAACAGCTACCATATATTTTAAATGGAACAAATAATATATTTAGAAATTCTTTAATGGCATAGGCATGTATGAACAGAAATAAATTAGGATGTGTTATGAAAGTAAAGCAGTTATATTGGATGGTGAAATCTATTACACTGAGGTGTGTGCAGCCAAAGTGACTATAAAAATTATCTTTATCGCTTAAAGACATTACCCTTTAAGATCATGAAGCTCTACATCCATTCATTCTCCAAGTAAAAATAGTGGTAATAGCCTAATTAACCTTTATCCCTTTGAAGTTCATCCTTGGAGACAGCATCAGCACAGGCATCAAAGAACTTCTGCAGAGTGTCAACTTGTCTACAGAGGATGTCTCTAAAAGTTTCCATTTCAGCCAATTTCTCACGTAAACTGTGGCCTTTCTGAAAAACACAAAACAAGGAGGGAAGTAGGGGAGAAGGTTGAAATTCATGTAAAACAAACTTGGAATTTATTTGGTCCCATGGCATTAATCATCCTTTAAGGGTCTGTACTTTAATACTGAGGATATGAGGTAGGGAGAGCTCAGTTCAAGATCGAGGTAATAGTACTAGGAAGAGACTTGAAAATGACTAATGTACTAGCTTAGTACTGATAAGACTAACAAAATAATAACCCTGACAAAGTGCTAATATAATAGTATTTTCAAAAAGGCATTATCAAGGAAAATATTAATAGTTCTCTTTGAAAAAAAAAAAGGTGAATGATCCAGAAGGGGGAATGCTATCTGACCTTCTCGAGAAGTCTCTGCTTGTTATTCCATCTGAGCTATTTTACAACTCTTTAAGAAACAGAAAATTGAGAGCAATGTACATGATTCATGTTCTACAGAGGTAAATGAACTCTGTCCAGCAGAGATGCATATTATTCCATGAATAATGACCATTTTTGCATATATTAACAAATACTCTATTTTCTTCAGATTCTTATTAGGAGTATTTATTATTTATACCTAATACCATTAAATACTGATTGCGATGAAATCTTTGACCTATATTCATATTTATGTGAAATATTCTCCTTTAAAAATTATTCTATAACAACTTTAAATAAATGACACTCCAGTGAAGTTATTTCAAAAGCACTATTAAGTAAGTTTTTTAGGTCACTGTAATTTAGAGCATTCTTAAGCACCAACCTTAAATGAAGAGGTGGATGTTGCAGAGTAGCCACTTGCTCCAGACACCAGTGACACCATTGAGCCATGTCTGCGCAGGCTTGATTCTGAGCCATATCCAGATTCTGTCTAAAAAGCAAGCAAACTACATGAAAACCATGTAAACAAAACATACTCAAAAGAAAATAAGATATTTTCTATATAGTAATCCAGTAATTAAATAAATCATTAGCAGTGGTTTATGCCACTGGATTACTTGTATATAGTGGGTGTCTTTCAGTTCCTAATTGAAATTTATTCTAGAATTTTAATGAATACCTACAGTATCTTATGCTGCTGTTATTGGTAGGTGCCAATGAGCTGATTTGGATTCACAGCAATTCTTGTACTACTGAACAGAACAAAACACTGCCCAGGTCCTCATAATCAGTGACATGTTTGAGCACATTGTTACAGCCACTCTGTCAACCCATTGTGCTTGAGTATCTCCCTCTTTATTGCTGATCCCGTCAGCACAACTATCCTTCTCTAAAAGCTGGGCCTTCCTATTACATGCCATAAGTATGTGTGACAAATTCTTGTCATCTTCACTTCTAAAGAGCATTCTGGCTGTACTTCTCCCAAGACAGACTTATTTGATCTTTTGGCAGTCCACAGTATCTCCAACATTCTTTGAAAATATCATAATCCAGAGGCACCAGCTCTTCACTGTCCAGTTTTCATATGCATATAAAAGCAGTGGTTCTCAACCTTCCTAATGCTGCGATCCTTTAATACAGTTCCTCATGTTGTGTTATGGTGACCACCCAACCATAACATTATTTTCGTTGCTACTTCATAACTGTAATTTTGCTACTGTTAGGAATAGGGCGACCCCTGTGAAAGGGTTGTTTGACCCCCAAAGGGGTTGCGACCCACAGGTTGAGAAGCGCTGATATAAAGCAACTAAAATAGTACTTTTTGGATTAGCCAAAATTTCTGGGAGCAGATTGTAGCCTTTTCAGTTTTGTAGCTACCCTGACAGTTTATTGAACAAAGAGAGTTCCCAAATCTACCAGTTTTTAAGTAATCATCCAAAGAAGACAATTAGAATCCTGTAAATTGAGATAAAATTAGATCCAGCACTGTCAAAACGTTGTTACTGTTAGCTGGCTTTGATTCAGGACAACCCCATATATAACAGAACACACCCCATATATAACAGAACACATCCCATATATAACAGAACAAAATGTTGCATGGTCCTATGCCATCTTCACTATCAATATCGTTCAAGCCTACTGTTCCAGCCAGTGGACCAGTTCCACTGGTCTCTGCTGGCAATTTGTTTTACCAAACATGATATCCTTTCCCAGTAATAGCTCATTCCTAATCCAAAGGAGTGAGCAGAAGCTTCTGACAATATTCTGTCATCAAAAGGATTTTCATTGGTTAATTTTCAGAAACTGTTTACCAGAATTTTCTTCCCAGTAAGTCTTAAGTCTAGATCGGGGTCATCAAACTGTGGCTGGTGAGTCGTATAGGCTCTTTTGGTACATACACATGGCTCTAAATTACAACTGAAAAAATTTAAGGGATATTGTTCAGATATTAGTGATTTCATTTCTTTTTTTATATATATACTTATGGCTCTTGAATAATTTTTAAAATATTGTGAGGGACAGGATTAACTCTCCCATCAACCCATCAAAATGCCAACCCCTGGTCTAGATTAATTTATTTTAGATTCTAGAACCTAATTAGTTCAATTCTCAGGATGTAAACTAGACCTCAATAAACTTGATAAAGGAAAAAGGCAAGCCTTCTTCTACATAACAGGGTTTTAAAAGTTTGTGGAAGAATGGAATTACGAGAATTTTCTCATGAACTTGTTGAAGACCCCATATGTAATAGAACCATAATGAAAAAAAAAATTTAATTACAACAATCATAGAGTTCATGAAAAAAAAAAATCCCCATCAGATAAAAATATTTATTAAAAGTCAGGCAGCAAAGGAACTATGCTAGGTTCTGTACCTAAAATACCTTCAGTTTCCTTTTCCTCTCTCTTCAAGTCTGATTTTATACATTTTGGTTGTTGTACTGCCTTGGTGAAGGTTTTCATAAAACAACACAAAAATAGAAAAAAACCTACTTATAATAGGCTAAAAAATAAGATTACTTTAGAAGTAGCTTCTCGCAGATGCATATTTATGATTCATTTCTAAACAGAAATGGTTCTAAATTGCATTGAATTACTTCATATGGAGCTTCTAAGTTACAGTCTTTGTAACTCCAACCACATGACAGGTTGAAACATGCAAATAAGACATAAGGAACACTAATATGATGACTAGTCAATGTTGCCATCCAGCCTGGTATTAAATGAACCATCTGAGAAGCAGGAATGAGAGCTCTCACTACATTAAAAAAGAATAACCCAGAGTGGAACACATCCTTTGGATCCTGATAGTCCTTGTGTGTTGAACCTCCTCAACGCAGGAGACAGAGGGCTGTGAACCACAGAGAGGAGGTGAAGCAGCAGCTACAGAAGCATCAGCAACAAGAGCACAAGACAAGGATGGAGCTTTCTGGTCCACTGGACAAGGAAAACTGAGTGCCTCTGGGTCGGAGGCTTTCTGCAAAGCATGGTGCCCTGTGGGCATTTATTGACAGCACTAGGGGAGCTCTGTAACACTTGCCTGAGCAGAGCAGAGGCCAAGGAGCTATATGGCTGAGACGCTGAGAACAGAGTGGTGTACCTACAGGCACAGCTGCAAACTGGGGCTCCTGCCCAGAACTGTATCCTGAGCATTTCTGATCCCGAACTGCAACCTGTCAACTTCCCTAAAGAATCCCACAGTTATGAATTAAAACCTGTGAATTCTCTGTGGCCACTACAATGAATTATCGAATCTAGCAAGGAACTGGAGATTGTCTTGGAAGAGATGGTTGATGTCAGAATTAGCATAAAAGTTGAAGGGTTGAGGCATGTCTGACCTCTGCCTTGGGCTGATGTTGACTTTGAGTTTCCTCCCTCTTGTGAGGTCAAAGGAGGTCAGATGAGGCCTCTACCCCATTCCCACAATTGCTTACTTAAATAAAATACCACCTAACATAATGCACTTGCTGATGAAGATAAGGGATTTCAGCTTTCAGTATGGATTACAACTCAATGTGAAGAAGACCAAACTCCTCACAACTGGACCAATAGGTAGGTAGCATTATGATAAATGGGGAAATGGTTGATGTCAAAAGATTTTGTCTTGCTTGGATCCATGATCCAAGCTTATGGAAGCAGCAGCCAAGAGATCAAAAGATACATTGCACTGGGTAAATCTGCTGCATAAGACCTCTTGAGAGTATTGAAAAGCAAGGATGTGACTTTGAGGACTATGGTGCACCAGGCACAAAAGCAATAGCATTTTCTATCATCTCAAATGCATATGAAACTTAGATATTGAATAAGGAAGACAATGGAAGAACAGATGCAAAGTATTATAGACTGCTAAAAGGGCAAACTAATCTGTCTTGGAAGAAGTACAGCCAGAGTGTTCCTGGGAGGCAATGATGGCAAGACTTTGTCTTACACACTTTGGACATGTCAGGAGAGACCAGTCCATATGGAATAATGTCATGCTTGGTAAAGCAGAAAAAAAGAGAAGACGCTTATCGAGATGGACTGGTACAGTGGCTCCAACCATGGGCACTGTTGTGAGGGTGGTACAGAACCAGGCAGTGTTTCATTCTCTTGTGCATAGGGTCGCTATAACTTAGAACTGACTCAATGGCACCTAACAACAACAATTTCTAATCCAGATTTCATAATATAAAACCAGATTTGGTCATTTAAAAAAACATATTCAAAATCTAATACAGTAATTTGCAATTTAATTCCAATGCATCTATCTTCTCTATTTGCTTCATATCACAAATCTTAAACAAATAGCATGACAAAATCAGAGAATTGAAGATCTTGAAGTACTAAATAAAGGTTTCCTGATTATGAGGCACAATTCAATATCCTTGTCTATTTTATCAAGTTCAACTATTTCAGAACAGATTATAATACCTCATTAAAGGATAGAACAAAAGACTCCAACATAGCAACACTGATGTGACACATTTTAAGTAATGAATAAACCACTATGGAAATTGTGTATCAGTATTTCTACCTTTAACAAATCTTTGCTTAAATTCCATTATAAATCATTCTAAAGAAAAACAAGTTTGTTTTTCAATTCTAATTCAATTATTACTGAATATAAATAATAGGACTGATCTGCCACTATACCTTACAAAATACCTGAACTGAGGTAACTAAATAAAAATTTTAACAATTATAAGGGGGCTTGGCTTTTAAAGATTCATGGAAAATTTTCATTATCTGTTAATTTCATTTTCCATAACATTTTCAAGCTCCCTCATATACACATACACACTTAGGTATCTTCAGTTTAAAAACTAGTCATTTGAGAAATGTCTATAATGGTGTCAATATTGCCATTATTTAATACAGTTCTGAAGGCCTGGTCACAACATTTAGTTATTTTATGACAGACATAAAATAGAACCATGTAAAATCATTTATGGAAGCTATAGAATAAAAATCAAAGGACAAGCAGTCATATTATTTTAAAGAAACAGGTACCAGGCATCAAAGAACAAAAAATCATATCATTGTGCATGAGGAGGAGTGTGGCGTGAAGACCCAATGCTCATCTGTAGGCAACTGGACTTCCCCTTAACAGAAGGGTCGCGGGGAGGAGACGAGCCAGTTAGGGTGCAGTACTGCACCGATAAAAACATACAACTTTCCTCTAGTTCTTTAATGCTTCCTCCCCCACACGATAATGATCCCAATTCTACCTTACAAATCTGGCTAGACCAAGGATGTACACAGATACAGATAAGAGCTGGAAACACAGGGAATCCAGTACAGCTGAACCCCTCGGGACCAATATTGAGTGGCGATACCAGGAGGGGAAGGTGGGGTAGAAAGGGGGATCTGATCACAATTATCTACATATAAACCCCTCCCTAGTGGATGGACAACAGAAAAGTGGGTGAAAGGAGACGGACAGTGTAAGACATGACAAAATAATAATAATATATAAATTATCAAGGGTTCAT